CATGCAATGCTGTTTGGTAGCATTTTACCCACAGTAGGTTTTTTTTTCAGAATTGGAACCAGTCCTCTCAAACCCTGCCACTGCTTCATCAACTAAGTTTATGTCATGCTCTAAATCCTTTATTGTCCTTTCAACAGTCTTCACAGCATCTGTACCAGGAGTAGTTTCCATCTCAATAAACTGCCTTCTGTCTTCATCCATAAGAAGCAACTCCTCATCCATTCAAGTTTTATCATGAGATTGCAGCAATTCAGTCACATCTTCAGGCTCCACTTCTAATTCTAGTTCTCTTGCTGTTTCCCCCATATCTGTACTTACTTCCTCCCCTGCAGTCTTGGACCCTCAAAGTCATCCATGAGGGTTGGAATCAATGTCTACCAGACTCCTGCTGATGTTGCTATTTTGACCTCTTCCCATGAATCACAAATGTTCTTAATGGCATCTAGAATGGTGAATCCTTTCCAGAAGGTTTTCAACTTCCTTTGCCAGGATCCATCTGAGGAATCGCTGTCTATGGCTACTACAGCCTATCCGATGTATTTCTTAAGTAATAAGACTCAAAAGTCAATTACTCCTTGATCTGTGGGCTGCAGAATGGATGCTATGTTAGGCATGAAAGCAACATTAACCTTGTTGTCCATATCCATCAGAGCTCTTGGGTGACCAGGTGCATTGACAATGAGCAGTAATATTTTGAAAGTAATCTTTTTCTTTTTCTTTTTTTTTAAGGTAGGCTCCATGCCCAGCATGGGGCTTGAACTCACGACCCTGAGATTAAGAGTCATGTGCTCTACCAACTGAGCCAGTCAGGCACACCAGGAATCTTTTTTTTTTCTTTCTGTGCAGTCTCAACAGTGGGCTTATAATATTCAGTAAACCATATTGCAAACAGATGTGCTGTCATCCAGGCTTTGTTGTTCCATTTACAGAACAAAGGCAGAGTAGATTTGGTGTAATTCTTAAGGGCCCTGGGATTTTCAGAATGGTAAATGAGCACTGGCTTCAACTTCAAGTCACCAGCTGCATTAGCCCCTAACAAGAGAGTTGGCCTGCCTTTGGAAGCCTTTGGAAGGTTTGAAGCCAGGTATTGACTTCTCTCTAGCTATGAATGTCCTCAATGGCATCTTCCAACAGAAGCTTCATGTACATTGCAAATCTGTTGTTTAGTGTAGCCACTTCCACTGCTTATCTGAGCTAGATCTTCTGGAGAACTTGCTGCAGCTAATACAACAGCACCTGCTGCTTCCCCTTACGCTTGTACGTTATGGAGACGTCTTCTTTCCCTAAACCTCATGAACCAACCAATACTAGCTTCCAACTTTTCTTCTGCAACTTCCTCACTTCTCTTGGCCTTCACAGAATTGAAGAGAGTTAAGGCCTTGCTCTGGATTAGGCTTTGGCTTAAGAGAATGTTGTGGTTAATTTGATCTATCCAGACCACTCAGACTTTCTTCATTATCAGCAATAAGGCTGTTTCACTTTCTTTATTATTCATGTGTTCACTGTAATACCACTTTTCATTTCCTTCAAGAACTTTTCCTTTGCATTTACAACTTGGCTAACTGGTGCAACAGGCCTAGCTTTGGGCCTGTCTCAGCTTTTGACATGCCTTCCTCATTAAGCTAAATCATTTCTAGTTTTTGATTTAGTAAGAGACATGTGACTCTTCCTTTCACTTGAACACTTAAAGTCCATCATAGGGTTTTTGTTTTGTTTTGTTTTTAAGATTTAGTTACTTATTTGAGAGAGAGAAGAGCATGAGTGGGGGGAGGAGCAGAGGGAGAGGAGGAAGCAGACTCTGCGCTGAGTCCAGAGTCTGACACGGGGCTTGATCCCAGAATCCTGGGATCATGACCTGAGCCAAAATCAAGTCGGACGTGTAACCAACTGAGCTACCCAAGTACCCCCACTGTAGGGTATTAATTGGCTTAATTTCAATATTGTTGTGTCTCATGTAATAGGGGAGGCCTGAGGAAAGAGAGAGACAGGGAACAACAGTCAGTGGAGCAGAATACACAAAACATTTATTGTTGTATAGGTGTGGTTCCTGGTGCCCAAAACAATTATAATAGTAACATGAAAGATCACTGATCACAGATCACTGTTTCAAATATAATAATGATGAAAAAGTTCAAAATATTGTGAAAATTACCAACGTGTGATACAAAGACAGAAAGTTAGCAAATGCTCTTGGGAAAAATGGTGCCAGTAGACTTGCTCGACACAGGGTTGCCACGAACCTTCAATTTGTAACCCAAAAAAGGCAGTATCTGCAAAGTGTAATAAAGTGGAATGCAAGAAAATGAGATACGCCTGTAGTTGTAATGGTTGTACAAGCCTGTGAATATACTAAAACCATTGAATTGTACACATTATAAGGGTGAATTTTATAGGATATAAACTATCTCCATTTTTTTATAAAGCACACTGACATTGAAGCCAGAACCCTAGATTTAAATCCCGTCTTTGCTACTTACTTGCTGTATCTTTCCCTGAGTTCTCTCATCTGTAAAGTAAGGGTAAAATGTGATACCTACCTCATAGAGTTTTGTGAGCCTTTAATGAGTTAATACATGTAAAGTCCTTAGTAAAGTGTTTGGCACGTGTAGGTGCCAACTCAGGTATTAGCTCTTGTATACGAAACTGAACCAAAGTTCATGGAAATATATTTACCCTACTACCAACAATGCAGTCCTTTTTTTTTTTTTTCTATTTTATTGATTTTAAAAGAAAGAGAAATAAATGTTAAGATACAGTAAGTTGATTTCACAACCCTCTAATGCCACTAAGAAAACTGTTTCCAGTGCTTTCCCTGCTCCCTCAGCCAACTCCTGCTCATCCTCTGGGTTTAGCTTAAAGTTGCTTCCTCAAACAAATCTTTCCTAATTCCCCAGACTAACTTAGATTTTCCTATTACTGTGCTGCTATTAGCACCTTATACTTAACCTCTGTAGCACTCATCCCAGTTGTAATTTTTTTTTAAACATCTGTCTTCCCCACTAGATTATAATCTTCATGAGGGAAGGAACTGTGTCTGTTTATTCACTGGTGTAGCCTTATCATTAAACAAAGTGCCTACCAAATAAGAAGTGCTTAATAACTATTGACTTGTAGCGTAGGAAGAGCTGCAAAGAAGGTATTGGGACGGTTTCAAGAAATGTGGCTGGAGTGCCTAGCTGGTGACTGAGTGACATAGTGCTGATACTATGCTCTGCACTCAACCTAGTCTAGATACGGTCATTCCCAAGGGAATCTTATTACTTTACATTTCATCCATAGGAAGAAGGACCGCCTAACCTAGGCACTGCTGAAATGACTGCTGATGTGCAATACTGAGGGCATCTGTTACTATCTGGGCAAGTTGACCTGCTGTGATAACTGTGTTAGCTGATTAACATAAGTCACGTTATAGCTGCAGAGGTTGCTGGCATTTTGGTTATTGGAGTGCTGAGATTCATGTCTTCAGTTTCTGTCTCAGAGAGTTCTGTCCTTTAAAAAAAAAAAAAGGTGAAGGTTTTGGGGTGCGCCTGGGTGGCTCAGTTAGTTAAACGTCCGTCTTTGGCTCAGGTCATGATCCCAGGGTCCTGGGATGGAGCCCTGCGTCGGACTCCCTGCTCAGGGAGCATCTGCCTCTCCTTCTCCTTCTCCCCCTGCTCCTGCTCTCTCTCTCTGAAATAAATAAATAAAATCTTAAAAAAAAAATAAAAATTAAAAAAGGTTTTGAAGATGTTGTATCATATTTCTATTTGTGTTTGATTTTGTGGGAGGGTGGCTGGAGTGGAGGAAATAATTTTCATCATTCCCTTGGCCTTTGAGCCTATGTTTTTATTTTACTGTTTTGGTAATGCTAAAGGGATAAGATACAATACAAAAAGGTTAGAAACTGGGGCGCCTGGGTGGCTCAGTCAGTTAAGCATCGACTCTTGGTTTCAACTAGGTTATGATCTCAGGGGCATGAGATTGAGCCCCAGGTCGGGCTCACACCAAGTCCACTAGAGATTCTGCCCCCCCCACTCCAACCCCTGGCATGCATGTGTGCAGTCACTCGCTTTCTCTCAAATACATAAATAAGTAAATAAAATATTTTTTAAAAGGTAAGAAACTATTTTTTATAATTTCATAATTTTTATAAACTAATCTTGTTATTAAGAATAAAGAAGAAAGGGGTGCCTGCCTCAGTGGGTTAAACGTCTGCCTTCAGCTTAGGTCATGATCCCAGGTCCTGGGATTGAGTGCTGCATCTGGCACCCTACTCAGTGGGGAGCCTTCTTCTCCCTTTCCCTCTGCCATTCTCCCTGCTTGTGTTCCTTTGCTCTCAAATAAATAAATAAGTAAAATCTTAAAAAAAAAAAAAAAAGGGAAGAAGAAAAACTAATAAAAGTAGGCTCCTAGGCTTTGATTAAATTTGCCAGGAAACCAAATAAATGTTTTGGGTTTTTTTTCTGAAATTAGAACATCTTTAAAGTATTAGACATAGTATTCATATGTCTTACTATAATAGTGTAATTTTTAGTCACAAGCAGAACCTGTATTGATGGAATATCACAAATTCAAGGCCAGAGAAGCAAGAAACTAGGGCCAACTAAATCAGATTAGGTAACATTTATCCAACTAGTAATTCCACTATTTCTTCCTCAGTTTACTACCTTGTCTTTTTCTCTCATTCTCTTTTTGTTTCTTTGGCTCTTAATCCCTTTGTCTCACACCGTAACCACTTTCTACTCTGTGACTTCTGTCATCTTTGAAAATTACAGTGACAACATATTTTGGTTTTGATTTTTTTTTTTTTTTTCAAATATGAAAGTACCCTCACCATAAGACAAGTTTCCCAGTCCTTGCTACGGTGATTATGTGCAGCAGTTCCCGTGTACGAGGGCTTTGCTTGTAAATGCTCCTCTATCTTGAGGTCCTAGTTTCCTCATTGTTGAGATTGTAATTGGTATGCTGGAATTGTTTTTAAAATGACAATAATAAGTGCTTTATTTGAATTATTTCCACAGCTGGTATAAGGCTAATTATAGTATGGCCGAGAAGTTAGACTGGGGCCGAGGAATGGGCTGTGACTTCGTCAGGAAGAGCTGTAAATTCTGGATTGACCAGCAGAAACAAAAGTAAGAACACATTTCCTCATTATATCTTTGATAACACAGTTGATTTCTGCTATTGTTCTTTATTCCTGAACCTAAAATGTCACTATTTTGAAAATATGGTCTAAACAGTTCAATTTCAAAATGTACAGTAATGTACAATAATGTATGGTAATATAATAAGTAGCTACATTATTGTTTTAAATCATATATGAAAAGAATCTACAATGTGGGAGCCAGAGCCATAAGCATTTGTTTAATTTATAATTAATAAGTTATATACTGTAAAATTTTTGCATATTCTGTCATTCTTACTGTTTTCTTCAGAGAATGCACCCATAAACATAGATGCAGCTGTTGTTTGAGTATCCAAAAACATGAAGATACTTTTGAATAATGGTTCTCAAATCTGGATGAATATCAAAATCACCTAGCAAACTTTTTAAAAATACATTCTTCAAGTTTGGGGGATATACATACCCACACATTCATATGTTTATGCATATTTTTTTCCCTTTTTTTTAAGTAAGCTCTATGCCCAATGTGGAGCTCGAACTCATAACCCTGCGATCAAGGGCCTCACACTTTAGGATGCCTGGGTGGCTCAGTTAGTTAAGCAGCTGCCTTTGGCTCAGGTCATGATCCTAGGGTCCTGGGATCGAGTCCTGCATGGGGCTCCTTGCTCAGCAGGGAGCCTGCTTCTCCCTCTGCCTGCCACTCCCCCCTGCTTATGTGTTCTCTCTCTCTCTCTGACAAATAAGTAAATAAAATCTAAAAAAAAAAAAAAAGCCTCACCCTTCATGGCCTGAGCCAGCCAGGTACCCCTATAAATATATATCTTTTAACTTTTTATTTTGAGATAATTATAGATTCACATGCAGGTTTGAAGAAATATACAGATTCCATGTATACTTTATCCAGTTTTCTTGATTGGTAACATCTTATAAAAACTATAGTACAATAACACAGCCAGGATATTGACATTGATATAATCAGATACAGAACACTTCAGTTACCACAAGAATCCTTCATGTTGCCATTTTATAAACATACCCACTTCCCTCCCACTCCAACCCCTCTTAAGCCCCTGGAAAGCACTAATCTGTTTTTTCATTTCTATAATTTTGCCTTTTAAAGAATGTTATATAAATTGATTCATTCTGTATATAACCTTTTGGGATTGGCTTTTTTCACTCCACATAATTTTCTGGGTTGTGTATATCAGTAGTTTGCTCAAGTTAATGGCTGAATAATATTCCATGATATGGATGTAGCAGTTTGTTTAAGCATTCACATGTTTTATAGTTGTTGTTGTAAAGATTTTATTTATTTGAAAGAGTGAGAGAGAAAGATCACAGCAGGGGGGAGGGGTAGAGGGAGAAGTGGACTCCCCGCTGAGCAGGGAGCCTGATGCAGGATTCATCCCAAGACCCTGGCTGAAGGCAGCTGCTTAACAGATTGAGCCGCCCAGGCACCCTAAGCATTCACATGTTGAGGATATCTAGGTTGTTTCCAGTTTGGGGCTATTATGAATAAAGCTGCTGTAAACATTTGTGTACAGGTTTTTGTGTGAACATAAATCTTCATTTCTCCAAGATAAATGCCAAGGAGTGCAATTGCTGGGTCATATGGTAGTTGCAAGTTTAATTCTCTAAGAAACTGCTGACCTCATCCAGAATGGCTATACCATTTTATATTCTACCAGCAATGTATGAGTGATGACAGTTTCTCCACATCCTTGTCAGCATTTGATGTTGTCACTATTTTTTATTTTAGTTATTCTGAAAGATAAGGTGATATCTCATTGTGGTTTTACTTTGCATTTCCCTAATGGCTAATGGATGTTGAATATCTTTTCATGTGCTTATTTGATGTCTGTATATCCTCTTTGATGAGATATCTCTCCATGTCTTATGCCAGTTTTCTAATTGCATTGTTTGCTTTTTTTTTTTTCACTGTTGATTTTTGAAAGTTCTTTATATATTCTAAGTACTAGTCCTTTGTCGGATATGTGGTTTGCACACATTTTCTCCTAATCCATAACTTTTCTTTTTATTCTCTGAATAGGGTCTTTTATAGAGCAAAAGTTTTTAATTTTGGTGAAGTCCAAACTATCAGTATGTCCTTTTCTGAGACATACTTTCAATGTCAAGTGAGTGGTGAAGTCCTAAATCTCAAAGATATTCTTTTTTTTTTTAAAGATTTTTTATTTATTTATTTGACAGAGAGAGAGAGAGAGAGAGAGGGAACACAAGCAGGGGGAGTGGAGGAGGGAGAAGCAGGCTTCCCACTGAGCAGGGAGACCGATGCAGAGCTCGATCCCAGGACCCTGGGATCATGACCTGAGCCGAAGGCAGACGCTTAACAACTGAGCCACCCAGGCGCCCTCAAAGATATTCTTGTATTTTTTTTTTCAAAAATTTAATTGCTTTATGTTCTATACTGCAGTCTGGGATCCATTTTGAGTTAATTTTTGTATAAAGTGGGAGACTTAGGTCAAGGTTCACTGTTTATTGAAAAGGCTGTCTTTCTTTTATTGACTTGCTTTCTTATATTTGTCAGAGAATCAGTTGGGTGTATTTATATGGGTCTATTTCTGTGTTCTTCTGTTTCATTGATCTATGTGTGTGTCACTCCATTAATAGTACACAGTCCTTGATTACTGTAGCTATACTGTATGTTAAAATTGGGTAAACTGATTCTTCCCACTTTATTCTTTTTCCAAATCATCTTAGCTCTCCTAGTTCCTTTGCCTTTCATATAAATTTCAGAATAACCTTGTCTACAAAAAAATTTTGCTGGGATTTTTCTATGAATTGTGTTAAACCTATATATCAATTTTAGGAGAATTGACATCTTAGCTCTGTTGAGTTTTTTAATTCATGGACACAATGGAGGGGGGAACATTCAGTTTTTCACCACTAAGTATAATGTTAGTTGTAGGTATTTTGTAGATGCTCCTTTTCAAGTTGAAGTTCCCCTCTCTTACTATCTTTCTGAGAGTTTTTATCATGAATGGATGTTGACTTTTGCCAAATGCTTTTTCAGCTTTGGTTGATATAATCATGTGATTTTTTTTTTTAGCCTGTTAATATGATGGATTACACTGATTGGTTTTCAAATATTAAACCAGCCCTGCATTGCTAGAATAAGCCCCACTTAGTCATGGTATATAATTATTCCTATATATTGCTAAATTCCATGTACTAATATTTTATTATGGATTTTTCTGTACATATTCATGAAGAATATGGTACTGCCTTTGTTTCTTTTTTGTACTGTCTTGGTTTTTTGTATCAGGGTAATATTAACTTCATAAAGTGAATTGGGAAGTATTTCCACCTCTTCTATTTTCTGGAAGAATTTGTGTGCAATTGGTGTTGATTCTTCTTTAAGTATTTGGTAGAATTCTCCAGTGAAACCGTCTGGGACTGTAGATTTCTCTTCCAGGAATTTCTAAAGTATTAATTCAACTGCCTTAATATTTACAGGGCTATTGATATTTATCTATTTCATATTGGATGAATTGTGGTAATTTGTGTCATTGAGGTATTCGTCCATTTTGTCTAAGTTACTAGATGTATGTGTACAGAATAGTTTGTAGTAGTTCCTTACTATTGTTTTAATGTCTGTAGGTTGTGTAGTGAAAGCCCATATCATTCCTGATCTTGGTAATTTGCATCTTCTCCATTTCTTTTTCAGTTTTGCTCTCTAGCAGAGTTTGTCAACATCATTGATCTTTTTAAAGAGGTAGCTTTTTGTTTCATTGATGTCTTTTATTGTTTTTCTGTTTTCTAATTTATTAATTTCTGTTCTTTATTATAGCCTTCCTTATGCTTGTATTTGTTTTATTTTTCTCTCTCTAGGTTCTTGATTATTGATTTGAGATGTTATATCTTTCTAACATATGTATTTAACACTATAAATTTCCCTCTCAGCATTTCTTTAGCTGTGTCCCAGCTAAAGGTTGAGACAAGTGACTTGCCTAGAGTCATATAGCTGATGAGGGACTTTAGCTTCTCTCTTTCCACGTCCAGTGCCTTGTCCACTAAATCACAGGTACTTCTTGTGAAGATGTTATTCGTATCTTTTCTCCCCTGGGTTAGGTCTCGAAGCAGTTTAAGTCAGCGTCTACTAAGGAGTCTGACATCTGAGTTATAATCCTGCCGTGAAAAGAGCTGTTAATAAGCAGTATCAGGAAGCACCTGCAGCCACTTTGTGGGCAGCTAGTTCTATCCAGCACTACTTGGTCTGCTAGCGTAGTACTTCCCAAATTTTGCTGTGCATTAGAATCATTTAGAGATTTTTTAAATCTCCATACCCACATTACAGCCCATCCCCAGTTAAATCAGAATGTCTGGAAGTGGGAACCGGGCATTGGTATTGTTTTTAGGGATCCCTAAAATTCACTTTGCAGCAAAGTTTGGGAACTGCTGTTGCACTGTGTTAAAGGAAGTATGTAATTAACATTGCAGCTACAAGAGCTTAGAGATTTTTTTCTTTTAACAGCTGCAACTCTGTTCTGCTTTAGGTCCTGATTATAGGATCACCTAAAACCAAAAACAGAAGGGAATTTCCTCTTCTCCGTTCTTCAAAACTAAAACGTTTGGTCCCCTGAATTCTCTCCTTTTAGCCATAAGTCAGAGGTTGGCAAACTTTTCTGTAAAGGGCCAATTAGCAAATATTTTGTACACAAAATAAGGTTCTCTGTTTTGAGACAAGTGGTGCATTATTACCTAACTCCTCTTCCTAGTTTTTCAGTCATAACAGTCTCTGTTACAACTACTCAACTCTGCTTTTGTACATCATGAGCAGCCCTAGACAAGATGAATGAGCATGGCCATGTTCCAGTAATACTTTATTTATAAAAACAGTTGTAGAAGAAACATAGAAACCAAAAAAGCAGTTATGGGCAGGATTTGACCCAAAAATTGAAGTTTGCTAATCCCTGTCATAAGCATTCAAATGTCCCACTTTTGAAACGTTGACATCCAGGAGTCCTTATAGCACAGAAGCCAACTTCTGGTACCATAGACCCAGTCTGGCTATATCCCTGAGTTATCTTAGATTCCAGTATGACCATTATTGAGTGCAGGGGCTGGTGCTTAACTTCAGCTGTGATACCTCTCCTTCTTCATTGTTGGGTGACTGGTATGAGGAGAGAACACTTGAGCAAAGACAGCCTTACTCACTGGAATCATTTGAATCTATGTACACACAAAATAAGGTTCTTTCTATGGTACCACTAGCCACATGTGGCTATATAAATTTATATTTAAATTGATTAAAGTTAAATAAAATTTAAAATTCAGTTCCTCAGTTGCACTAGTCACATTTCAAGTGGTTAATAGCCACTATATGATTAGACATATTGGACAGCACATTGCAGAAAGTTCTATTAGGCCGAACTGCTGTAGAATTATATGCCATGAATCTTGAACAGCTCTAACTTTGGAACTTTTTAAATCAGTATTTTTTAAGTTCCTTACTCCTCTTTACCCATTTAGGCAAAACTCATATTTTAATTAATTTAAGGTAAATATTATGTATTGTTTTATTTTAAAGAAAAAGGAAATGAATTTCATAGTATCAAGGAAGTGACTTAATAAGAACTACTGGTCATATTCATTGGAAACTTTATCATAGAAAGTTATAAAATTGCCTTATGTAAAGATTTTATAAAAGTGGTGTGGACAGTGAAATTACATTTATTGAGTAACTTGTATGTGCTAGACACTGAGTGCTTTATAGTTGAAGCTCAGGAAAATTAAGTAAATATCAAATATCAAATAAGCTGGTATTTGAAACCAAGCCTGTGTGAAGGTTTATAGACCTTTGCTTTGCTATTACATTGTGCTGCTTCACATTTACCAAAGACTGTGGTAGGTCTTTTACACATTTTATCTCAAGAAGCTATAATTCCCCTAAAAATGTTTTATTGCTATATTTGTTAACTTAAATGAAGCAAGTATCAATTTTCCTTAAAATAAGAAATCTAACCTCGGCTTTTTCCCCCAACAGGCATGTGGGAGAAGAAGAAAAATAGCAGTAATCCTTTACAATTTGGTAACCAGTCTTAACAGGATTTATATTGTTTAAGAATACTGGAATTTCATTTATAACATTACTGTTATGACATTAATATAATTTGTATTGTAATTATCAATAAGAACTAATTTGAAGATTATTTTTACAGAACAATGCAATAGATTCCAACGTCTTTGGAAAATTACAAGACATCTTTTTCTTTTTCTTTTTCTTTTTTTTTTTTTTAAAGATTTTATTTATTTATTTGAGAGAGAGAATGAGAGACAGAGAGCATGAGAGGGAGGAGGGTCAGAGGGAGAAGCAGACTCCCTGCCAAGCAGGGAGCCCAATGCGGGACTCGATCCCGGGACTCCAGGATCATGACCTGAGCCGAAGGCAGTCGCTTAACCAACTGAGCCACCCAGGCGCCCCAAGACATCTTTTTCCAAATTATACTTTCAAGATTAGGTTTAACAGAACAGAACAACTTGTAATAATTAGGAGTATTTACACTATCTTCATTTTGCACATGAAAGCGGGATGTCTTGTGAATGTGTTCAGTTTAACAAACTGTCAAACAAGAGTCTTTGAATTATATTATGGCATAGAAAAAATTCACTCTTTGAAGCTTCAGGACAGAAGGGCATCATCTCCCATCTCTTTCTGAGACTCCATTATATTGATTATGAAGATTTGCATTTCCAAGCAGTATCAGGAATTTCATTATTTGTCTTTAACATGCAGATCAGGTCTGCAGAACTCCATTTTACTGGCAAAAGTGGAAAGAAAGAGATAAATAGAATTGTGTTTAATAATGGTGGAGTAAAGTTATAGTGCACGTAGCATTAATCATTCATATCTACATTAAGCATTTCTTTTTACACTTTTTTTTTTTTAAAGATTTTATTTATTTATTTGACAGAGAGATAGCGACAGCAGGAATACAAGCAGGGGGAGTGGGAGAGGGAGAAGCAGGCTTCCCACTGAGCAGGGAGCCCGATGCGGGGCTCGATCCCAGGACCCTGGGATCATGACCTGAGCCAAAGGCAGACACTTAACGATTGAGCCACCCAGGCGCCCCTCTTTTTACACTTTTAAAAATAACTTCATAACCTGATTCAGCATTTAGTATTAAGCTATTAAAGTATACTGAAATGATAATAGAAAAGACAAGCTCTGTAATGGATTTGTTATATTTTCTTTAGAGTTTGATACCATGGTGTTTATCTTTGTGTGCAGGAGGCAGATGCTGAGCCCTTTCTGTGACACACTCAGAAGTAATCCATTGCAGTTAACTTGCAGACAGGACCAGAGAGCAGTTGCAGTGTGTAATTTGCAGAAGTTTTCAAAACCTTTACCTCAAGAGTACCAGGTAACACTTGTTTTGGGCAATTTTAGAAATCAACACAACTTTTTAAAGAGAAGTCTCCATTTTTAATTAGAAGAGTGAATTCTCTTAAGTTTTTCAACTTATGAAACTTACGTTTTCTATAAGTTAGAAAAAAACGAAGAATTCTTACAATTCTTTAAAGCCAGTGTGCTAATCAACAACAATTAATATCTAGCAATGCCTTGTAGTAATGGTAAAAAGCATTTAGAATATTTATTGGATCTATTTTTAAGTGGTCTGTATTTTTTTCTTAATTGTTTCCAAAGTCTTCGTGTTTAATTTCCTCTAATTTACACAGAAGAACAAAGTTCTTTAAAGGAAATAACTGAGCTACTCTAATCCAATTCATTAAATCCAATTATATTAATTATAAAGTAGAACTTGAAAGTTCTACTTTATAAAGGTTTGACACATGGGATCTAAAAGGTGAAGGAGGGGCGCCTCTGTGGCTCAGTCAGTTAAGCATCAGACTCTTGATTTCAGCTCAGGTCATGATCTCAGAGTCCTGAGATCCAGCCCAGCATTGCGCTCCACACTGGGCATGGAGCCTGCTTAAGAGTCTCTCTCTCCCTCTCTATCTGCCCCTCTTCTCTCTATCTGAAAAAAAAAAAAAAGGTGAAGGAAATGGTCCCACACATTCAGTCTGAGTCTCTGATTGGAACTTTAAGTTTGTTGTTGCAGTAACCATCTCTGAAACGCCTCAGTTCTGCCTGCCATTTACAAAGGATTCTGTAGTCAGAAGTGTTATCTCAGAAGATAATTTAAAATGATTGTTGCTGGGGCACCTGGGTGGCTCCGTTGTTAAGCGTCTGCCTTCGGCTCAGGTCAAGATCCCAGGGTCCTGGGATCGAGCCCCACATTGGGCTCCCTGCTCAGAGGGAAGCCTGCTTCTCCCTCTCCCACTACCCCTGCTTGTGTTCCCTCTCTCGCTATATCTCTCTCTGTCAAACAAATAAATAAAATCTTTAAATAAATAAATAAAAATAAAATGATTGCTGCTGAATTTTGAGCTTCCTGCATATGTTTATGATCCCACTGAATGCTTCAGATACCATAAGATGGCAACTATATTTCTAGGCATAGTAATATAATTCAGGGAGTTGGTATAAATGTGAAATCTTTAAAATTTATCTGGTGCCTTATTCCTTTGGTGTTCAAAGTATTTTTTTTTTAAAGATTTTATTTATTTATTTATTTGAGAGAAAGAGTGTACATGAGCGGGGGCGGGGGGGAGGCAGAGAGTGGGGGTGGGGGGAGACAAAGAGGGGGAAGAGAGAAGGAGAAGCAGATCCCTCCTGTGCAGAACCCCAAAATCATGACCCGAGCCAAAGGTAGACACTTACTGACTGAGCCACCCAGGTGCCCCTCAAAGTATTTTATATATATGATCTCATTCATATTATCACAGTTTTATTTTTTCAAGTTTGTCAAAACAACACGTAAATTAAGTCTTCTAAAAACACTTGAAAGGGGCGCCTGGGTGGCTCAGTTGGTTGAGCGACTGCCTTCGGCTCAGGTCATGATCCTGGAGTCCCGGGATCGAGTCCCGCATCGGGCTCCCTGCTCGGCAGGGAGTCTGCTTCTCCCTCTGACCCTCCCCCCTCTCATGCTCTCTCTCTCTCATTCTCTCTCTCAAATAAATAAATAAAATCTTTAAAAAAATAAAATAAAATAAAATAAATAAAAACACTTGAAGTACATTATATTTAAAATATCTTAATTCTCTGGATTAGTTTTCTGTTTTGTCAACTCTTAAAACTCTTCCTATTCATCTTTTTAAAACACTAGTCAAATTTGTCATCTAGTAAAAAACTTGAATATACTTATCTTGCTTATTTCTAAAACTACAACAACCTTGAAATAGCCCTCAGGTAGTATATTACTGTCTTTATATTCTATTATATATGAAGAAAAGTACACTGATACCTTCTTTATATTATGCAGCGTTAGAGGGTTGCTATAAATTGCTTGTGGACTTTGTTTTTATTATACAGAATGTTTTCTTACTTTCCTGTCTTCCTAATTTTTTTTTTTTTTTTTGGTAGTACTTCGATGAACTAAGTGGAATACCTACAGAAGATTTGCCTTATTATGGTGGTTCAGTAGAAATCGCTGACTACTGCCCTTTCAGTCAGGAATTCAGTTGGCATTTAAGTGGTGAATATCAGCGCAGCTCAGATTGTAGAATATTGGAAAATCAACCAGGTTAGTAGTCTAGTGAAATGAAATGTTGTGTGTATATTAAAGTTATATATCAGCAATATAAAATAGGGATTAAGGGCACAGACCCAGGATGCAGACTGTCTGAATTTGTATGATGGTTCCACTGGTATCCATTTTTTAGAAGTAACTTAACTTTGGGCGCCTGGGTGGTTCAGTTGGTTAAGCAACTGCCTTTGGCTCAGGTCATGATCCTGGAGTCCCGGGATCGAGTCCCGCATCGGGCTCCCTGCTCGGCAGGGAGTCTGCTTCTCCCTCTCCCACTCCCCGTTTGTGTTCCCTCTCTCGCTGTGTCTTTCTCTGTCAAATAAATAAATAGAATCTTTAAAAAAAAAAAAAAGAAGTAATTTAACTTCTCTGTGCCTCAATTTCCTCCTCTGTGCCAAGGGGATGATAATACCTATCTTACAGAGGACTTGTGAGAACTAAATGAATTCACATAGTAAATGCTTAGAACTAGGACACAGAACAAGGACTGTTAGTTGTTTAGATACATTTGCACATGTATGCACCCTACTTTTTTGTAGTACCTTCTATCTGCATGACAGTTTCATTTGCATTTCATTTTTATCATTTCATTTTATTCTTTGAAAAACCTGATGAGAGACACAGAGAACATATTATTGAATTTCACAAGTGAACGAAGAGACACTTAGTAATACAATTAATTGGTGCCAGTGTAAGATCCTCCAATGCAGAGCTCTTTTTATTAAATCATATTAGGTATCCAATTTTTTTTGTCTTCTGAGGAGTGTACATTTTATGTAGTTTAGAAGTAACATGTCATTCTCCAGATATCAGAATAATACTATTGTCCCATGGCTAGTAAGATATAGTGCCATATTATTTATTCCCTTTTAATACACATAAAGAGTATGATAATGGGTATTCACCTTTGTAAACAAACTTATCACATCTGATATGTTAATAAAGAGCAATAGGTTAGTTCTTCACTCTGTGGTCATAAAAATTTCTAACCTGGTCCTTTTTTTAAAATTTAAATTCAGTTAATTAACATATAATGTATTATTTGTTTCATGGGTACAGGTTTGTGATTTGTCAGCCTTATATAATACCCAGTGCTCATTACAACATATACCCTGCCCAATGTCCATCATCCAGTTACCCCAAAACCTGATCCTTTTTATTCCCAATTCCGTACTTTATTACAGACTCTCTTATTTACATTTTAAATTTCCATAATGGTTTTTCCTTTTGTTTTTAAACCTGGTAGATTTAATTGGATTTGTACAGTCATTTTTTTCATCCCTCACCTATTTAATGTCTAAAAACTTATAACTATTCAGCAGTTCCATGTTAAAACCGAGAAATGCAGGGATCTATCAATTATGGGTTTGCCAACGATATAGTATCACACTTTATTGTTTTAGAGCTGGAGTTGACAAACGTTTATTGTAAAGAGAATGTAATTTTTTTTTGAGAAAAATAGTAAATATTTTATTTTTTTATTTTTATTTTTTAAGATTTTATTATTTAACAGAGATAGACACAGTGAGAGAGGGAACACAAGCAAGGGGAGTGGGAGAGGGAGAAGCAGGCTTCCCGCGGAGCAGGGAGCCCGATGCGGGGCTCGATCCCAGGACCCTGGGATCATGGCCTGAGCCGAAGGCAGACGCTTAACAACTGAGCCACTCAGGCACCCAGTAGTAAATATTTTAAACTTGGTGGGTCATGTGGTCTCTGTTGCAATTACTGAACTCTGTGTTACAGTGTGGAAGCAGTTATAGATAATGTGTAAATTAATGGCAATGTTCCAATAAAACTTTATTTGTAAAAACCTTCAGGTAGCCTTCAGGATTTGGCCTGAGGGCTGTAGTTTGCTGACCACCCCCTTTTCTTTTTTTGACACTGATCACTTGGTTTTTCAAGGACTTTGAAATATTCATAAATATAAAAAAAGTTCTCCTTTATTCTGTTTTACATTTTCTTTCTTAGCTTATATAATTAAGATTTTTCAAAACTGACATAAAATACCTATCTTTAAGAACTCTGCTTTCAGAAAAGATGAAACTTACTTGTATTAAGTGTGAAGAGAACAAATTATTGCTAGGGCTTAAGTGCCTCATTCTTTTGTCCATTAGCTATTTAGAGGTCATTTAATTCACCTTATACCTCTGCATGCTTGTGCTCAGTCTGAGACTAGGTCAGCATGTTATGTATGGACCTCCAGGAGATAGCATACGATGAAAGTACAAGAAAACTTTGCAAAAACTTTTTGCAGCACCCCAAAAAAGCCTTCATTAGATAAATCACTTGGCTTCATCTGGGAGGTGACTCCTGTTTAGACTACCAGTAAAGATGATTTTTCGTGCCATTTTCTCTATATATCTAATTTAGATACTTTAGGCCCAGTTTTGTTTTTTTTTTTTTAATTTTATTTATTTATTTGACAGAAAGAGAGATAGGGAGATTAGCAGGGGGAGTGGGAGAGGGAGAAGCAGGTTTCCCACCAAGCAGGAAGCCCGATGCAGGCTCGATCTCAGGACCCCGGGATCATGACCTGAGCCGAAGGCAGACGCTTAACGACTGAGCCACCCAGGCGCCCCTAGGCCCAGTTTTATCTCCTGTTTTTGATACAATAATTTCCTCCCACTGAGTCCTTTATTGAGAACCCAGTTTGATTTTGGAGCCTGTTTCTCTTGATTTTTTTTTTAAAGATTTTATTTATTTATTCTTCAGAGACAAAGAGAGAGAGAGAGAGAAAGAGAAGCAGAGGGAGAAGCAGGCTCCCAAGGAGCAGGGAGCCCGATGCGGGACTCGATCCCAGGACCCTGGGATCATGACCTGAGCCGAAGGCAGACACTTAACCATCTGAGCCACCCAGGCACCCTCTCTTGATTTTTTTTTAATGGAAAATTTCCATTAAACATTTTCTTTCTTTAGAGCAATTTTTAACCATAAGAATGGAATGCTTCAGCTTCTTTATGAGCCAAAAGTCAATTTTTAAGAGAAATTCTCTGGTTTGCTTCAGATCGTTTTAAAAACTATGGTGCTGAAAAGTATGGACCTCATTCAGTTTGTCTAATTCAGAAATCAGCATTTGTCATGGAAAAGTGTGAGAGGAAGCTGAGTTACCCAGACTGGGGGAGTGGATGTTATCAGGTAAACAAAAGATTGTTAATAATTATTATCAAATATTATATAATTTTATCTTGTTACCAGTGGTTTTTATATTTTAAAATATATTTTATATTTTTATATAATGTACTGATTAATACTTTTAACTTATTTATTTATGTAAATATTAGTTTGGATGCTTATGTTTTGTGAAAATATTGTCATTTCTTTGAAAGAAATTACCTTTTTCCATTTGTTTAAAAAAACATATAATTGTTATGTATCAGCAAGTTTTATAGTAATTTTACTCTGGGCATATATCCCAAGGAAATAATGGAATATATGTAATTTTGTTTTTGAACAAATATTACTTTGTAATTGAAAAAAATTGCAATTTTATTTCATAAGATCTGAGGAAAGCATGGATTTAAGAATTAATCAACTACAGATTAATAATAGGTTTTCTCCTTTATAATTAGAAATCCAAAGGTAGCAAACTATTTTTTTCTTAATTGTCTCATTTGCACATCTGATTTTAAATGACTGCATCACCTTATTAAAAACTTATTAAGAGGGGCACCTGGGTGACTCAGTTGGTTAAGCGTCTGCCTTCAGGTCGGGTCATGATCAAGCACCTGCATCAGGCTCCCTGCTCAGCGGAGAGCCTGCTTCTCCCTCTGTCTGCTGCTCCCCCTGCTGTGCTCCCACTCTGTCATTCTCTCTCCCCGTCAAATAAATAAATAAATAATTTCTTAAAAAAAAAAAAAAAACTTAAGATAGAGGCATTCTGTAACTTAGGAGCATCCAACTTAAAGAGTATTACGTACTCTACTAATGGATATCAGGGAAGAAATTGTGATCCTGAGAATTGAAAAATAAGAATTCTTTGTACCATTTCAGCTGCAAGGTCTAAATGGACTTCTGTAGCTGGGAATTTAATTATTGCTTTTAAAGTTACTTATAAAATTAACTTTTTTTGGTAACAGCTTTATTGAGATTTAATTCACATATTATCCAATTCAATTATCTTTGAAATCTTACAAAAGACAATTCAAAATAAATAATATATAATCTGACAGCTATAATCCAGCTATAATCTGACAGCTATAATCCAGCAACCATTTTCTGATAAATTCCATTGCAGATTTATGTATTTATTAAACTCATAGTTTTGACCTGGTTGTAATCATAATATAAAATTTTGTTTTACTGCCTTCACTTAGTGTGGAGCAAAACACCTTTTCCAAGTTTTCCAATAATAAAAATTATTCTTTTGTTTTGTTTTTTAAGTAAACTCTACCCACAATGTGGGGCTTGAACTCACAACCCTGAAATCAAGAGTTGCATGCTCTACTGACTGAGCCAGCCAGCTGCCCCAATAATTACTATTCTTTATGGCCATTAGCCATTACATCTTTTTAAAGTATCATAATTAAGGAAGTCATTTCCTGTTACATATTGCTTTAATTTTCACTTTTCATGATAAAAATATGCTTTCATAAGCACGTTTATGTAAGATGTAAAATGTAAATGTGTAAAAAGCACATTTACATAAGCACATTTACAAAAAATATATTTTTTTTTAATTTTTTTTTTTTAAGATTTTATTTATTTGTGAGAGAGAGAATGAGAGACAGAGAACATGAGAAGGAGGAGGGTCAGAGGGAGAAGCAGACTCCCTGCTGAGCAGGGAGCCCGATGTGGGACTCGATCCCGGGACTCCAGGATCATGACCTGAGCCGAAGGCAGTCGCTTAACCAACTGAGCCACCCAGGCGCCCAAAAAATATATTTTTTTAAATAAATTCCCTTAAGTGAAAATGTTAAAGGGGATAAAGCTAGAATAGTGGCAACTATAATACAAAGATGACCTCTTCAGGCTATTTTATTTTATTGTATTTTTTATTTATTAAGTAAGCTCTACACCCAATGTGGGGCTTGAACTCATGATCTCTAGATCAAGAGTCGCATGCTCTACTGATTGAGCCAGTCAGGCATCCCATCTTCAGGCTATTTTAAAAGTCTATCAACATCACAGCACCACAAAGGGATTAATGCAGTTTTGCAATGCCATCTACAAAGATTGAATAAATGTACTTGGCTTCCTTGTACTTAGAGTTGTCAGTTAATTTTGTTAATTTAGTACTAACCACCATTTATGTGGGAAAATGTATATAATCTCCAAACACTTAACAGGGATTAGCTGTTTTGTTTTTTTGTTGTTTGTTTTATTTATTTTGACAGAAAAGCTGCAAGAATGGTACAAAATTTTTTTTTAGTCATATAAGTGCAAATTGCTGACATGCTTCACCCTCTTCCCCAAGTACTTTGTGTATTATACTCAAGGACATCCCCCTACCTATATTAACTTAATGTTAGCCAGTTTAGTCAACTACCTTTACTAGATTTGGTTCTGGGCAACTTATGGTTATTTCTAAAAATTACATTAACTTGCTAAGTAAAAATTTGCCACCATCAGACATATTCAGAACCATGTACTTGGTTTAAAGTTAGGCCCAGGAGACAAGTTCCAGAAATATATAAAGTGAAGTAACATAATTGAAATTAATGTGAAGTCTTTTTAGAAAACAACATTGAGGGATGCCTGCGTGGCTCAGTCGCTTAAGCGTCTGCCCACCCCAAATAAAATCTTTTTTAAAAAAGTTAGCTTTAATGTGCTTGCTTTTTAAAATTGACTTGATTAGCTACCCCTTGCAGTTAAGATGTGAGTCCTACCTTTAAAGATGTTACCAGTCCATGTAAAATCACTAGGACCTTTTTTATACCTGAGCAGAGGATCTGTGATAGTGAAAAAGAATTAAAAACTTTTACTGTGGGGGCACCTGGGTGGCTCAGTCGTTAAGCGTCTGCCTTTGGCTCGGGTCATGATCCCAGGGTCCTGGGATCGAGCCCCACATCGGGCTCCCTGCTCAGCAGGGAGTCTGCTTCTCCCTCTCCTACCCCCCCTGCTTGTGTCCCCTCTCGCTGTGTCTCTCTCTGTCAAATAAATAAATAAAATCTTTAAAAATAAAAAATAAAAAAATAAAATTTTTCACTATGTACATTTCTGTGCTGTAATACTTTTTTTTACAATGAACATATATTATTTTTATAATTTAAAATAACTAATAAAAATTTGATTTATAAAATTTGTAACTTGAGAAAATGATACGAGTAATGGCTCTTCTTTTTTTCTTAAGATTTTATTTATTTATTTGACAAAGAGAGACACAGCAAGAGAGGGGACACAAGCAGGGGGAGTGGGAGAGGGAGAAGCAGGCTTCCCACAGAGCAGGGAGCCCAGTGTGGGGCTCGATCCCAGGACCCTGGGATCATGACCTGAGCCGAGGGCAGACACTTAACAACTGAGCCACCCAAGTGCCCCACAGGTAATGACTCTTTGACGAAGGTTTAAGCTGAAGTATAATGAGGATACTATAATCTACAGAAGCGTCGTTCTTTTTTTTTTTTTTTAAGATTTTATTTATTTATTTGACAGAGACACAGCAAGAGAGGGAACACAGCAGGGGGAGTGGGAGAGGGAGAAGCAGGCATCCGCGGAGCAGGGAGCCTGATGTGGGGCTCGATCCCAGGACCCTGGGATCATGACCTGAGCCAAAGGCAGACGCTTAACGACTGAGCCACCCAGGTGCCCCGCGTTGTTCTTTTTTTAATAAGATTTTATTATTATTATTTTTAAAGTTTTATTTAAGTAATCTCTACACCCAACGTGGGGCTCGAACTCAGGTCCCTGAGATCAAGAGTTGTGTGTTCTTCTGACTGAGCCAACCAGGTGCCCCTAATATTTGATTTTTTTAAATAATCTCTACACCCAATGTGGGGCTCAAATTCACAACTCCGGGATCAAGAGTTGCATTGCTCCACAGAGTAAACCAGCCAGGCACCCCTACAGAAATGTTATTCTTGACAAATTGGCTTTGGGGTCTATAAATCGAGATTGTATGTAAAGTTGTGTGTTGTCTTGTATATTTAAAGAAGAGCGTCTGGGGCGCCTGGGTGGCTCAGTTGGTTAAGCGACTGTCTTCGGCTCAGGTCATGATCCTGGAGTCCCAGGATTGAGTCCCGCATCGGGATCCCTGCTCAGCAGGGAGTCTGCTTCTCCCTCTGACCCTCCCCCCTCTCATGCGCTCTCTCTCTCAAATAAATAAAATCTTTAAAAAAAAAAAAAAAAAGAGTGTCTGTAGCTTTCCTCAGATTTTTTGAAAGTGATAAACTAAAAGTTGAAGAACTACTACCACAGAGTGAAAATTCTTTTAGAACCTGAATAATTTAACTTTCTTTATATGAGATTAAAGATATGCCTACGTCCCAAATTGTGTTTTATGGTCAGTATTTTTAGTAAATTCTAATGTATTTTCCTGTAGTTGAAAATGGCTCATATATCATATATGAGAATCTTATTGATCTGATTTTTTTCTCCTCCTATTTGAAGGTTTCTTGTTCTCCTCAAGGTCTGACAGTTTGGGTTCAGAACACTTCATATTTGTGTAGTCGAGCTGGGCAGGTCCTCCCCGTCAGTATTCAGATGAATGGCTGGATTCATGATGGTAACCTGCTCTGCCCATCATGTTGGGACTTCTGTGAGCTCTGTCCTCCAGAAACTGATCCTCCAGCTACTAACTTGACCCGAGCTCTACCACTAGGTGAGTAGTCTCTGTGGTTGGAGTAAAGACAAGGACTTTTCTTATATAATGTTGGAAATTCCCTTCAAGGAAACTCTAAAACAGGTGGAACATCTTCTCTTCTAATTGCAATTTTATGGGAAAGCCTTCTTCCCACCATTGTTAGAAACTGAAGGTGAGTAAACATTGTATTTCCATTCAGTAAGAGCAAGGATAAGGAACCTTTCTAAAGACCCTCTGATTTGGGGAAAAAAAATGAAATTAAGTGTAAACGAACTTCTGCTCATTAAACACAAAAAGCAATTAAATGTATTTCAGTTATACAGGCACACCTCATTTTCGTCTGCTTTGCTTTATTACACTTCACAGATACCGCATTTTTTTTTTAAAGATTTTATGTATTTATTTGAGAGAGAGAGAATGAGAGAGAGAGCACACGAGAGGGGGGAGGGTCAGAGGGAGAAGCAGACCCCCCGCCGAGCAGGGAGCCCGATGCAGGACTCGATCCCGGGACTCCAGGATCATGACCTGAGCCGAAGGCAGTCGCTTAACCAACTGAGCCACCCAGGCGCCCCTAGATACCGCATATTTTACAAATGGAAGGCTTGCGCCAGCTGTGTCAGCCGCTCTGCCAGCACCACTTTTCCAACAGCATTGGCTCAATTCATGTCTCTGTGTCACACTTTGGTAATTCTCTCAATATTTTAAACTTTTAAATTATTATTATATTTGTTATGGTGATCTATGATCAGTGATCTTTGATTTTACTATTGTAATTTTGTTGTTTTGGGGCATCAGGAACCACACTCACTAGAAAGTGAACTTAATTGCTAACTGTGTGTGTTCTGACTGCTCCACCAACCAACGATTCCCATTTTCCTCCTCTTCCTCGGGCCTCCCTATTCCCTGAGACACAACAGTGTTGAAATTAGGCCAATTAATAACCCTACCATGTCCTCTAAGCATTTGAGTAAAAGAAAGAGTCACATGTCTGTCACTTTAAATCGAAAGCTAGAAACGATTCAACTTTGTGAAGAAAGCATGTCAAAAGTTAGTTGTGTCAGTTGGCCAAGTTGTGAATGCAAAGGAAAAGTTCTTGAAGGAAATGAAAAGTGATATTACAGTGAATACACAAATAACTAAAAAAAAAAAAAAGTGAAACATCCTTACTGCTGATATGGAGAAAGTCTGGGTGGTCTGGATAGAAGTTCAAACCAGACACAACATTCTCTTAAGCAAAGCCTAATTCAGAGCAAGGCCCCAACTCTCTTCACTTATGTGAAGGCTGAGAGAGGTAAGGAAGCTGCAGAAGAAAAATCAGAAGCTAGCAGAGGTTGGTTCATGAGGTTTAGGGAAAGAAGACGTCTCCATAACGTACAAGTGTAAGGGGAAGCAGCAGGCGCTGTTGTATTAGCTGCAGCAAGTTCTCCAGAAGATCTAGCTCAGATAAGCAGTGGAAGTGGCTACACTAAACAACAGATTTGCAATGTACATGAAGCTTCTGTTGGAAGATGCCATTGAGGACATTCATAGCTAGAGAGAAGTCAATACCTGGCTTCAAACCTTCCAAAGGCTTCCAAAGGCAGGCCAACTCTCTTGTTAGGGGCTAATGCAGCTGGTGACTTGAAGTTGAAGCCAGTGCTCATTTACCATTCTGAAAATCCCAGGGCCCTTAAGAATTACACCAAATCTACTCTGCCTTTGTTCTGTGTAGGTGGAACAACAAAGCCTGGATGACAGCACATCTGTTTGCAATATGGTTTACTATTTTAAGCCCAGCGTTGAGACTTACTTCTCAGAAAAAAAAATGATTCCTTTTAAAATTACTGCTCGTTTTGAATCCATCTGGTTATCCAAGAGCTCCAATAGAAATGAACAATGAGGCTCATGTTGTTTTCATACCTGCTAATACAGCATCCATTCTGTAGCCCACAAATCAAGGAGTAATTTTGATTTTTGAGTCTTATTATTTAAGAACTATATTTTATAAGGCTGTAGCTGCCATAGATAGTGACTGCTCTGGTGGATTCAAGCAAAGTAAATCGAAAACCTTCTCGCAAGGATTCACCATTCTAGATGTCATTAAGAACATTCCTGTTCCAGGCGCCTGAGTGGCTCAGTCGGTTAAGTGTCTGCCTTTGGCTCAGGTCATGGTCCCAGGATTCTGGGATCGAGTCCCGCATCGAACTCCCTGCTCGGTGGGGAATCTGCTCCCTCTACCCCTCCTCCCTGCTTGTGCCCTCTCTCTCTCTCTCTCTCTCATGCGCTCTCTCTCTCTCTCTCAAATAAATAAATAAAATCTTAAAAGGGGGGTGCCTGGGTGGCTCAGTCAGTTAAGCATCTGCCTTCCACTCAGGTGTAATCTCAGGGTCTTGGGATTGAGCCGTGCTTCCAGCTCTCTGCTCAGTGGGGAGTCTGCTTCTCCCTTTCCCTCTGTGCTCATGTGCTTTCTCGCTGTCTTACTCTCTCTCAAATAAATAAATAAGTAAATCTTTAAAAAAAAATTCGTGTTTCATGGGAAGAAGTCAAAATACCCACATTCACAGGAGTTTGGAAGAAGTTGATTCCAGCCCTCATGGATGACTTTGAGGGTCCAAGACTCCAGGGGAGGAAGTAAGTACAGATGTGGGGGAAACAGCAAGAGAACTAGAATTAGAAGTGGAGCCTGAAGATGTGGCTGAATTGCTGCAATCTCCTGATAAAACTTGAATGGATGAGGAGTTGCTTCTTATGGATGAGCAAAGAAAGTGGTTTCTTGAGATAGAAACTACTCCTGGTGCAGATGCTGTGAAGACTTTTGAAAGGACAACAACGGATTTAGAGTATGACATTAAACTTAGTTGATAAAGCAGCAGCAGGGTTTGAGAGAATTGATTCCAATTTTGAAAGAAGTTTTACTGTGGGTAAAATGCTATCAAACATCATCACATGCTACAGAGAAATCATTTGTGAGAGGAAGAGTCAATCGATGTGACAGGCTTCATTGTTGTCTTATTTTAAGAAATTACCACAGCCAGCCCCAACCTTCAACAGCCACCACCCTAACCAGTCAGCAACCATCAACATCGAGGCAAGACCCTCCACCAGCAAAAAAGATTATAACTTGCAGAAAGTTCAGATGATAGTTAGCATTTTTGAACAACAAAGTACTTTTAAATTAAGGTCTGTACATTTTTTTAGACATATACTCTTGCACACTTAATAGACTGCAGTACTGTGTAAATACAACTTTTAAAATGCACCAGGAAACAAAAAAATTCATTTGACTTGTTTTATTGCAGTATTTGCCTATTTGGTGATTTGGAACTGAACCTGCACTATCTCCAAGGAATGCCTGTATTATGAGTAGGTGAGGTAAAAGAAAGGGAAGGACACTGGACAATATGGTTAAAGAAGGGATTGACATACCCACAAAGAAGAGAAAGGTGCAAGGACACATAAATATGCACAAAGCAAGATAGAAAGATGGGCTAGTAGAGACAAAGTGGTTTTCACGGATGTATGTTTTTCTCATTCTGTGAGACTCCAGAGAGTTGAATTGAGAACAACAGAACAGAGTTGTAGGGAGACAGATCCCAGTTAAATCCTTTTGATCCTTAGTCCAGGAGAGGAATGGAAAGAACTACCTTGAGAAAAGGCCATTTCCCATTACTGAAGCTGTGTGAACTGAGCCTGATGACCCATTTCTGAGAGTTACAAAAGCAGATTTCATGAATTCTCAATTAAAGCTTTGACCTAAGATCTATGAGATTTTAATTAAATGACCTCTGTGATTTTATGGCAGTTTGATATTTTAGAATATGAATAATAAAGATCTTATGTACTGTTTCATTTTCTCAGTTGGGGGTATTTTTTAAATGGAACTGGGTAGCCCTTTGCCTGTTCCATGGTCTGGTTGAAAATGGAGGGCTGCATTCATTTACACCTCAGTTTCTCCACCTCTAAGATTTAATTTCCTTTATTTCCCAAATCCTGGGACTTTCTGCAGATATGAACTGTTAGGTAGAGCATGAGTTTTAGAAGACTGGTACTTGTGGAGGTGCCTGGGACCACCTCCAGGTTTGGTGATTCTCGAGGACTCACAGGACTCAGCCTGTGTATTTATGGCTAAGATTTGTTAAAGTGAAGAGATACAAAGCAGAATCAGCAAAGGTTGGCAATAGGGTGAAGTCTGGCAGAAACCTGTTCTCGGATACCAGCTAAACCATCCTTGCAAGCAGGACTTTCAAAGGATGGCAATCTCAGGCCTGCTATATTAACTCTTTTCTGAACAGAACTTCAGGGAGTCAGCTGTTTTCTGCAGTTATAATAATAATGACACAATGAATCGTTTGAAATAATGTAAGATCTTAGGTCCTGGGGCGCCTGGATGGCTCAGTCGGTTAGGCGTCTGCCTTTGGCTCAGGTCATGATCCCAGGGTCCTGGGATCGAGCCCCACGTGGGGCTCCCCACTCAGCAGGGAGTCTGCTTCTCCCTCTCCCTCTGCCCCCCAGCTTGTTTTCTCTCTCTCAAATAAATAAATAAACTCTTAAAAAAAAAAAAGATCCTAGGGACACCTGGGTGGTTCAGTTGGTTAAGCATCTGCCTTCAGCTCAGGTCATAATCCCAGGGTCCTGGGATTGAGTCCCACATCAGGCTCCCTGCTCAGCGGGGAGCCTACTTCTCCCTCTGCCTGCCGCTCCCCCTGCTTATGCTCTCTCTCTATCTCTCTCTGACAAATAAATAAAATATTTAAAAAAAAAAAAAGATCTTAGGTCCTTTTGGTGTGGTAAATAGTATAAATAGTGTTAAATATTCTTAGTTAACTTTTACTTTTAATATGAAGCTGGTAGGATGACTTAATTTTGTTGTTACTGTTAAATTGTTTTGGTTAGAATAAGAGGGCTGATAGTCCACAAGTTAGGTGGTTCTGATGGAGTTCCCATCCTCAGGCCTAATCTCAGGTAACTGTGACAGTCTATCACCATCTCATTGTCCAAGACATGAGCAAGGATTGAGCCACTGGCAGAGTTGAAATAGTTAATTCCAGCTAGTTCAGGGGTAAGAATCTTGGGAGTAGAGTAGAAGGATGTCTAGGAATGAGAGAAAATCCAAACCAGGTCAGGGGGCTATGAGATGATTATTTCCTGTCCTTGGAGCATGACAAAGACAAGTGAATCTATTAAAAGGAGGTGGGGGGTAGAGATTGCAAATCACCTGCACAGTCTGCACCTTGAACTCTGCTTATCCTACTCCTTCTTTATCAGTCACCCTTCTGATACAGTGCTGCTATAATGTGATTGATTTCCCTGTTAACTTGCCCAATTCTATGAGGAAGCATGCTCAAAAGAGCGTTGCAAGCACCAAATCACTACTACAATTTTGAAAAATGTATAAGTATTACAAGAACAGATACATTTTAGGCATTGCTTTTTAAACATACACATCACTGTTGAAATTCTAAAATATCCTGACTTACTGTATTTGTTAATGTGTTCACTGAGCATACTAGCCTTTACTGAATATTTATTGAACTATGTGCCAGAAACTATGACAAATGTTTCTTTCAGGTAAATAGTTTGTTTCTGTGTAATACTTTTTTATGACCCACTAAATATGTAAAAATATTTTGATGCTTTAAATGTACCTGTGTGGGAAATACTAATAATTAGAATTAACCTATGATGAACCTTATTAAACAAATTATCACCCCTGATCTGTCTTAGGAAAGTATTTTTTTAGGTTTTTAAGCATGCCTATAAAACATTAAAAATGCTAATATTCTGGAGGAAGTGTAAAAGACATTCTCGCTAAATTCTTCTGATTTTTGTTATTATTGTTCTTAGGTGTTAGTTTGCATAGCCTTTTCTTATATTTGTAATTTGTTTTAGAATGTAAAACTCTGGGGTCCCTGGGTGGCTCAGTTGGTTAAGCGTCTACCTTCAGCTCAGGTCATGATCTCGGGGTCCTGGGGTGGAGCCCTGCATAGGGCTCCCTGTTCAGTGGGAAGCCGGCTTCTCCCTCTGTCTGCCCCTCCCCCTGCTCGTGCTCTCCCTCCTCCTTCTCCTCTCTCTCTCTCTCTCTCTCTCTCTCTCTCTCTCTCTCTCTCGGATGGGTGGGTAAAATCTTAAAAAAAAAAAAAAAAGAATGTAAAACTGACTTTCTGGGACGCCTGGGTGGCTCAGTCGGTTAAGCAGCTGCCTTTGGCTCAGGTCATGATCCCAGGGTCCTGGGATCGAGTCCCGCATTGGGCTCCCTGCTCAGTGGGGAGCCTGCTTCTCCCTCTCCCTCTGCTTGTGCTCTCTCTGTCAAATAAATAAAATCTTTAAAAACAAAAACAAAAACCTCTGACTTTCTTTTCTCTCTCCTTTTTTCTAGTTGTCACTTCTAAGTGCTAGGGTGTGATTAGATAGTTCTATATTGCCCAAAATAGTTTACATTAGTGACTATGAAAGATTTATTTCTGAATTCTTTCAAGTCTCTTCAGATTGTAGGGGTTGTTTTTGTTTCCATTTATTGAATGCTAGACACTTTGCCAAGTGCTTTATGTCCGTATCATTGCATTTAATCATCACAAAACCTAATGAGGTAGGAATTATTGTTTTACACATGAGAAAACTAAGGTATAAAGAGATAATGTATTATCCATGAACTAATAAATAATGAAGTTCAGATAAAAACTAATTTATCTTATCTGTCTAATTCATTTTGAAACCCTCTTTCTGAATCTTTTCGTTTTAATTAGTACTAGCACTGAAAGTGCAGTGTTTTTGAAGAACAAATGTTCCAGAACTGCCATTAATGTTTTAAAAGCTTGTTAAATATTAGTACCAACAGTAGATAAACAATGCCTACTTCTCCTGTTTCCTTTGGGCCAAATTGAAAATCAGGAGATAAAGGGATATGCTTATGTTATTAGTCACTTCAGGGTCTATTCCTTAATGCAGCCCAGACCACTCTACCACATCAACTCTGGGTTTATGGAAATGTTTCCATAGTTTGCACTATCCAGTACAATAGTCATTAGTCACATATGACTGTTGAACATGTAAAATGTGGCTAATGTGAGAAACTGTTTTTATTTTTTTAAAGATTTTATTTATTTATTTGACAGAGCATACACAGGGGGAGCAGGAGAGGGAGAAGCAGGCTCCCCACTGAGCAGGGAGCCCAACGAGGGCTCGATCCCAGGACCCTGGGAACATGACCTGAGCCAAAGGCAGACGCTTAACCAACTGAACCACCCAAGCACCCCGAAACTATTTTAATTAGATTTAAATAGCACATATAGCTATGGCTGCCATATTAGATATTGCAGTCCTAGGTCAAAAGTTCTCAAACTTTATACATCAGAATCATGTTAAAATCCAGAGTTTTGGGTTCAGAAGATCTGGGTCGGAGCCTGAGACTTGCATTTTTAACAAGTTTCCAGGTGATGCTGATATTGTTGACATAAGGACTACACTTTGAGAACCATTCTTAGCTAAGTGGGATTTTTTTTTTTAAGATTTAACAAATACCAGCATGATTCCATTGAGGAAGAATAGAAGTTCCCCATGGTTTACCTGGCTTATAGCCACAACTATTTTTTAAAAATAATTTTTTTAAAATACTTGTTCCACACTGCATAGTGCTCAGAAGTACAAGCTCCAGTGCCTTGACATTATCATTCTATTCATCCTATAGCTGAAGACCAGTCCTATTTTTCTTACCTTTTAAGCACATCAGACTTGAAGCTTGGTTGGTTCTTTATTAATCAAAATAATAGAAAGGACAACTCATTCTAAAATAAAGTCAGGTTGACCTGGTCTCTTGACTGCAATAAAAATGTTTTCTATTCTGAGAATTGTTTTGAGAAGTCATTTTAGCCCTCAGAACAACTTGTGGCTAAATTAAAATATATTCCTAGTACCCAAAGCCCATAGAATTTTCTGCCATTTCTTTTTTTTTTTTTTTTTTTAAGATTTTATTTATTTATTTGACAGAGAGAGAGAGCACAAGCAGGGGAAGGGAGAAGCAGGCTCCCCGCTGAACTAGGAGCCTGACTCAGGACTGGATCCCAGGATCCTGAGATCATGACCTGAGCTGAAGGCAGATGCTCAACCGACTGAGCCACCCAGGCGCCCCTCTTCTGCCATTTCCATATCTGCCTGGGGTAATATGGATAGATGGGCAGATATTTAGAGATCAGGTACTGGTTTACCTGGGACAGTCCATGTACTGTGGGCTTGGTATAATTATTAATAGCATTGCCTTGTGTTAATCAAAAAGAACAAATTAGTTGATCTAAGCAAACTTTATTTCACACTTCATAAAGTAGGCAGTCTCATCTCAAGAGTATAAAGAACTGCAAAATAAGGGGAAAAGACTACAGGTAGGGAACAAGGAAGAAGTACTTGGGTTAAGCTGATTAGCTGGGCTGGCAAGCTGACCTTATTTAGAAAGATCAAGGAAGGGGCGCCTGGGTGGCTCAGTCATTAAGCATCTGCCTTCGGCTCAGGTCATGATCCCAGGGTCCTGGGATCAAGCCCCACATCGGGCTCCCTGCTCCGCGGGAAGCCTGCTTCTCCCTCTCCCACTCCCCCCTTTGTGTTCCCTCTCTCGCTGTGTCTCTGTCAAATAAATAAAATCTTTAAAAAAAAAATCAAGGACAAAGGAAATAAGTACAAGTACCAGAGTTGGCTTGGCAGTTGAAGATTAGTTTACTAGTTATACTGTGTTTCTGGTCAAGCGGAGGAACACAAAAGTTATCTAAGTTTCAGTTTGCTGCCATGGCACCACAGGCACGAGTGGTTCCATCTTGGGAAATTTATTGCAACACTTGTCTCAAAATGCCCTGATTTGGGATGATAAATTATAGGGTTACCCTACTTAAAAAGGACAAGGAAGAATAGAGGAAGAAGGTCCTGCATCCCATATTAGAATAGCCAATATATTTATTTACTTTCCTGTGTAGCATCTTTAGTTTTGTTGGGATACTTCCTGAAGACACTTCTTTCTTTTTTGGGGTGCTGCTTTTAACCTCAATATGGTGGGTACATCATCTTTTCTTCCTGCATAAAATATTTCGTTCTTTTTCCATAAATGTATAAAAATGACTTTGCATATCTAGGTCTCAGGAAGTTATTCTTGGTTCTGCTCTCCAAGGTGGTCCTTGTTCATCTTTTAATAGTCACCTCTACTCATCTGTCAATTTCTAGTTGCTATGATTTATTCCAAAAATGTCTCCAGAAAGTCAATTTTTTGTTTTCAATCCTAGATCTCTGTTCCCGTTCCTCTAGCCTCGTGGTCACCCTCTGGCTTCTGCTAGGCAATCTATTTCCTCTGCTGGCTGGATTTCTTCTGTGTGTATGGCACTAGAAATGGAAAAGTGAATTCTCAAGACATTCTTTTGTGTCACGTTCCTCTGAACAAAGCACAAAATCTGGGAGAGTGCCAGCCTAGGCAGATGGCAGAAGTGGCGTTCCTGACTTTGGGTTGGAAGCGTTGACCACAATCAGACCTTGAAGCAGAACTTCACAGCAGTCACTCTTCAGCAGCAGCCCAGCAGCCTCAGAGCTTGGAGGAGGAAAAGGAATTCTAAGTCACCACGTCTTTATTTGTCAGGATATATAACCTGCCTGAAGTTTGCCTTTGAAAATGGGATAATTGGTGAAATTTTCAGAGTGATTACATACCCCAGCATTTTCATTAACCTAAAGTGATGGGAAAGTTCATCAGTACTGCAGTAATTTTTTAAAATGGCTATTACAAGATTATAAATTGTGGATCCTGTCCTCAAAAGTATAAATTGTCCTTTGACTTACAGATAGTAATTGAATTGGGTTTCTACATCACTATTATATCTTTATTGAATTTAATGGCTGTGCCTGGTACACTTAAATCATTGTTCTCATTGTTCTAAAAGGTGTTTTTTTTTTAAATTATGTTTTGCTAAATCTTATGATTTAACCGTGCTTGCCTTTTTCAAACCAGCTCTGTTGCAGTTTACTACTGAACGATTACACGTTGGTAGCCCTTCCAGTTGTATCTCCAGTAGTTTAATCATGACTTGAAAAACTGTGGACACAGAGAGAGAAAAATACTCTGCCCTGTAAAAACATTGAAGACATGCAAACAGAAGAAAACATAATTGTATGTTTTTCAGATAATAATTTTGACAACTGTAACCCAACAAAAATAGAACTATTCCTTTTTGACCAATGAAGATAAAAAGAAATTATGGTACTGCGTAGAGAGATATGCAGTTATTTTCAAGTGGGCTAAGAAATTGTTACAGAACAATTTCTACTATCTGAAAATTATATATAAGAAGAAAAATATAAGTCAAAACAAGGTGGTCTGAATTGTTTACTAATAGCAAAGTGTAGGTTTGTAGTAGGGCCTATTCAGTAGGACTCCCTTTACCCACAACATAAGCCTCAGTCCACAGAAGTCAGAAAATTGCCTGTGCTTTAAAAGGAGGTGATGTTCTTGACGCAATGTGATTCCTGCCCAATGCTCTCAATGTCAAAGTGAAGATGTTCAGTGAAGCGCAAGTAAATGGCAGGAGCAACTATGACTCTCTTAAGGTAGCCAAATGCCTCATCTAATTACTAATGCATATGAATGGATGAACGAGATTCCCACTGTCCCTACCTACTATCTAGAGAAACCACAGACCAAGGAACAGACAAAAAAACAAAACAAAACAAAACAAAACAGAAACAAACTATAAAAGGAGGTGATATGTTTTGCTTCCTGCTTTTGACACTCCTCCCGTTACCAAATAGATTCTCATCCTCAGAAGCAATTCTCCTCTGGTACTAGAGCTTACCCCCGCTCTTAGTAATTCCAATTTGAAATTTTTTAATGATGAGTAATGCCCAGTTGTTCTCTCTAAAGCTAATGAAGTCCTGTGGCATTATAAACATAACTCCTGGACAATATTTTTTCATTCATTCATTCATTCATTCATTCATTTATTCATTTGCCTTTTAATTCAGCATATAGTTATTGAGCACTCCATTTAAGAGATTATGCTAAGTGAGCAAGCAGTATAATTATTAAAAAGTAATTCCAACTGACTATTTGGTATTGGAGCCAAACTGCAACCCCAGCATAGAGGAAAGTCACCTTTTTCTAAAGCATAAATTTTAAATATGTATTTGCATGCAGTTTTAAATTGGAGGTATTTGTCATTGTAAAAAAAGTGGGGGTCGCTAGCATAGCCGACTTCAGCTCAAGAGAAGTTAATAGTAATGGTGTCAGGCCAGTGCTCAGTTTTCTGCCTTTGTCACACATTGCTTTAAAAGTCAGAGAAAAGTATAGAGTATATTTTTAAAGAAAATTATAAAACTCTAAACTTACATATCAACTGTGATTATGAATCATCCTGCAAAGTTGTAAAAAGAATTTCACCAAAAATATGATGGATAATCTATTTGAGATTCACAGTGGGAGGTTCAATTATATTTTGACTGTTGTGCAGTAACGCCATTTAGGTAGTATTGTTTCCAAGCATGGTGCTTTTTATACTTGAAATATATTTTTGCTTTGTTTTTTAATGATATAATTATATTTGCACTAATGACTTTCTGGAGAAAATATTATAGATGACATTTTTTCTATATATATTTATTAAGCTTGGAATCTGATACCCTAGTGTTTTCTCTGCACAAATAAGGAACTTGATAAGGTATGAGGCTAAGAAATCTTGAGTCTCTGAGGGTAACTAACAGCTCTAGTGTCTTCCTTCCTCTTCAACAAGTCTTGAGAGTGGTTGCTTATCACTTATTCTTCCTAGTGTACTCCGTGAAGACTTAGAAGGCCACTGAACCTGTAAGAAATGTTAAGAGGAACATTTGAGTCACTTAGAATATGACCATATTCTAAAAGCAGACTTAAAATCTGAAATTTCAGTGCAGAATTAGTGGGCTAGAATTCAGCTTTGAAATGAAGAATTCGAAATGGCCTCCTGTGGTAGGATGCCTTTTATGTTAACAAAACCAGTTCACTGAGAAGACTAGCAGACTGCAGCCATGGTGGAGGTGAGGTGGGACACGGAAGGAGAATAAGGAGTAGCCGATTTGGGGACAGTAGACTAGAGTCTCTTTCTTACTCGAAAAGTGTGGAGTGCATATAAAAAACGGACTAGACTACCTCAGTTTTCAGTTCAGATTTAGGTTCATTTTGATAGTATTAAGGTCCCAATTGTTAAAAATTAACAAGTGAATTTGTCTCTCAGGTTTTCAAGAACAGAATTTACAGGAAGGCAGCAAAAGCCATGTCAGCAGACTTGAGCTGACAGCTTTAAAGAAACTGGCAAGCTGTTAGGGTAGTCTTAAGGTAGACCTGTCTAATATTCTCCTGAAGAACATCCTTTTCCCTTACTTATTTCTCAAGGATATTTATTTTTGTTAAGAACAAATAGACATTCTTAAAATGTTATAAATTATGCTTGAAATTAGTTTTAGCCTAGTATGTTGGCTTAGAGTTTATCAGTATTTGAAGATGAAACATAAATTAGTGAAGTTTAAATGGCTTTAGGAAGATACATGAATAAACATATCTGAGTATTCCATTAAATTTTATCAATATTCTCCTCAATATTAGAAGAGCAACTGTAAAATGACTATGACTAGCTGCTTTCTCAGATTCTTTTACCTCTAATATTCTATGACTAACACTCATTCAGACTCGGTAGGTCACTGCTGGCTCTGATCTGCTTCCTCGAGTATGCCAGCTTGCACGTCATGTTCATCACGGTCTTGTGCTCAGTGCCGTAGCGCTGTCCACGTCCTTGGACTGGAGAGAGAAGAGCCATTTCTGAGGGCATTTGAGCCATCCTGGTAAAGGAGGTGGACTTTAGTCATAGCCCCACAGACCCATTTCATAGTGGTCACTAGAACATTCATGCCATGTTCTTGCAGCCCTGGAGGACGAATATATTAAAGTCTGTGCTACTCATTCTGAAGAAAGAACTTACCTGAAAGGATGACGACTTCTTCTTCTTCTTCTTCTTCTTCTTCTTCTTCTTCTTCTTCGTCTTCGTCTTCGTCTTCGTCTTCGTCTTCGTCTTCGTCGTCGTCGTCTTCTTCTTCTTCTTCTTCTTCTTCTTCTTCTTCTTCTTCTTCCTTCTTCTTCTTCCTTCTTCTTCCTTCTTCTTCTTCTCTCCTTCTTCTTCTTCTTCTTCCTCTTCCTCCTCTTCCTCCTCTTCTTTCTTTTTTCTTCTTTCTTCTTTCTTCTCTTCTACTCCTATCTTCTTCTTTCTTCTCCTTCTCCTTCCTTTTTTTGTTGATACATTCAGTCAGGATAGGGAAGGAGTGATGAATTATTTTCTTTTATGTTTACATTTTTGGTAAATAGAAGATTTAAGAACTAATCTTTATTTGTGTTATTGAACTCTAAGTGTAATGTATTCCTTAGTAAAAAAAAGAAACAACTTCAATAAAAATGGAAACTAATCTGTATCTTGTCTTTACTTACCATCAATTTTTTTTAAAGATTTTATTTATTTGAGAGAGAGAGAGAGCACATGAGAGGGAGGAGGGTTAGAGGGAGAAGCAGACTCCCTGCTGAGCAGGGAGCCCAGTGCGGGACTTGATCCTAGAACTGCAGGATCATGACCTAAGCCGAAGGCAGTCACTTAACCAACTGAGCCACCCAGGCACCCTACTTACCATCAGTTTTTAAAACCTGGATGGGGTGCCTGGGTGGCTCAGTTGGTTAAGCGACTGCCTTCAGCTCAGGTCATGATCCCAGGGTCCTGGGATCGAGTCCCACATCGGGCTCCCTGCTCTGCGGGGAGCCTGCTTCTCCCTCTCCCACTCCCCCTGCTTGTGTTCCCTCTCTCGCTGTGTCTCTCTCTGTCAAATAAATAAATAAAATCTTAAAAAAAAAAAAAAAAAAAAACCTGGATGAAGAACACAAGCCATGTGCACCATTTGGGGAACACAAGGTGTTAATTGTGAAATAATTCAATTTCTACTTTAACTGGACTAGAATTGTCCTACTTAAAGAATGGGGACAGATCTTACGTAAAGCATAGGGAGAAGCCCTCCTCAAAGAGTTATGTAGGAAAGAGAGCAGTCTAAAACAATTCAGGGCAAGCTCCTCTGGCTGCAGATGATCCCAGTCCCTTTTGTTTTACGCTGTGGGCCACGAGTCTCATTGCATGAGCACCCTTGCACATTCATGTGCCATGCTCTGTGCAGTAGCAGCAGGTAGACTGGCTGTAGTTTTGGAGTGTGATTGTTCCTCATAACCTGAATATAGTTTGAGGAAGGATATCCTGGACATGCCTTCACCATGTGCACTTGGAGCCAGTCTGCCCTGTGGCACGGAGCCATGCACTTCGTGAAATTGACTGACATAGTGTGTGGGACCTAATTGCCAAGCTGAGATCTTTGTGGGAAATTTTAATAATAATATTTAGATTTTTAAAGTTTTAAATATTTCATAAAAGTAGCTAAAACTATATGTAATAAATTACTTCAAGTAGTTGAATTAAGCCAATATTATTTGCATAGTGCACTGAAGATAAAGCTGTCTATATCTTATAACACTGCTCACCTTTTGGTATGTTGATCAAGTATAGCTTATTTAGTAGGCATTATTCATAAGCTGTCTTTTGCCTATGACCTCTCTGATAGATTTGCCGAAATGGAGGGGTTTATTTAAATCAGCTTTGTTAAGTGTTCCCCCAGAAGTTCATTCTTTAATAAGTTTAAATTAAATTGGACATATTTGGAAATGGTTGTCCAAATATGTGCTCTGATGTTCCAGTAGATAGCCACTACCTTTCCCATTCTATATGTATAGAAATGGGTTTTTTTCTACCTCTGGACATTAGTATATCTTAGGTTCAATGCCTCTTTAACACTCAAAGCCACTAATAGTTAATTTTTTCAATTTAGACAGAAACAGTGACTCAACAACTTTATGACATTATCACATTTGGAAATACTCAAATCACAGTATCTGAACACCTCCTGGCTTCTTCTCCCTCACCCCATTAGGTTTCCTAGTGACATTTCAAGAAGGCTACAATCAACTTGGAAGAGATTTTCACATGCCTTCCCACATGTGGTTGTTCATGAATGTGTATACAGTGAAGCTTTTGATGTATTTGGCTGAGGTCATGAAAATTTAATGTAAGTTAGATAACCAAGTAGAGTTTGCTCTATTGTCACACGCCTCAGCACAGTTTGCCACCCCAGTCTCCAGAGTCTTAAATCGTAAACAGGTTATGCCACTATTCTAAAGTGATTTGGGGCGGGCGGGGACCCTGGGTAGCTCAGTCGGTTAAGCATCAGACTCTTTTTTTTAATTTTAATTTTTTTTTTTAAGTAGGCTCCACACCCAATGGGGAGCCCAATATAGGGCTCAAACTCACAACCCTGAGGTCAAGACCTGAGCTGAAATCAAGAGTTGGATGCTTAACCGACTGAGCCCCCCAGGTGCTCCAAGCATCTGATTCTTGATCTTAGCTCAGGTCTTAATCTCAGGCTCATGAGGCCCAGCTTGGAGCCTACTTAAAAAACATAAATGAAATGATTTGGTTATGGGCGCCTGGGTGGCTCAGTTGGTTAAGCGACTGCCTTCGGCTCAGGTCATGATCCTGGAGCCCCGGGACCGAGTCCCGCATCGGGCTCCCTGCTCGGCAGGGAGTCTGCTTCTCCCTCTCACCCTCCTCCCTCTCGTGCTCTCTCTCATTCTCTCTCTTGCAAATAAATTAAAAAAAATTTTTTTTTAATTTTAAAAAATTTTTTAAAAAAAGAAATGATTTGGTTAGTTGTGAAGTTTTATGCTTGCTAGTAAGTAAATAAAATCTGTAAAATCTGTTTTTCTTATAATAGGTTTGACAAAGGAATGAAGAGGGAGTTAGTAAGTGCTATACAGATGTTAAATAACCCTTAGGGATAAGTCTCTTCACAGTGGAAAAAAGAAAAAATGAAGATGTGAAATGTCTGAAGCAAGTCAGTGCTCAGACTGAGGTGAGTTCATGGCTTTGCCACACTGGGATTTTGCCCCAGAACTCCTGCACCAGCACTGTGCACCATGCTGGATCTCCATAGATGGGGGCTTTTATCCATTTTTGTCTCATTTATCCTCTCACTCCACCCCAGGCTGTGTTCATGCCTCCTGCTTCCCCATCACCCGTTCAAAACAGCCCCGTTTTCTCACGTGTATGCACATATCTATTTGGTGGCTTCATTGCCTGGGAGTGGTGTAGGGGATCCTATCCACCCGTCATTTCTCAAACACTGATAAAGAGGGAGGGAGCCAGCAGCCCTCACTCATTTACTAATCTGGTAGAAACCAGAAGCTCCCATGCCCTTTCAGTCTGCTCCTGCTGTTTTATAATTTCCATACCACCATTCAGTTTCCAGGTCAGAAATGACGGTATCTGCTGTGGCTGCCCATGCACCATGGCCCGGGAGGCATTGGTAGTGAAAATGAGCAGACTGGAGTCTACGAGCTGAGGAACACAACTCCAGGGTGGGTAGGTACCACCTGGGTGTGGCTGTCAGATGCTAAATAAGCCAAAGGCATAGATGCAGAAATCATTTAGTCCAGAGGCAGAAACGGTGAAGGTGAATCTATATACAGGGAAAAAAAGAAGTCCTGGAATTAGTCAAAGATTAGGCTTACAGGACCAGAGAAACAAGAGTGAATGCAGAATGACCAGACTACGTTCTGTTGGATTGGGGAGGGGCTGCCTTTTGTTCTGGACTCCTAGGTTTAAGTGCACTGAGAGTGCCTTCTGATACTTAGCACAGTGGAGATACTGAATCTAGTGATTTAACACTGGAATAGTCTTTGTTGTGTACTTACTATATTCAACACGTATTTGGCATCAACTCTATCAGGCACTCTACTGGGTCTTCCCATGGTCCACAAGAAACCAACAGACATGGTCTTTGTCCTGGAGCCAGTGAAGGATGGGGACAATTGAACAAGCATTTACAGTAAGGTATAGACTTGAAGTGGATAAGATAAAATGTATAACATGGGAAATAGTGGAGAGAGCAAGGCTGAAGATATAAGAGGCTGAGACACCCAATAAAGTCAGGCTCTGAGAAGATAGAAGCTGGGACCAGAGCATGGGGAATGGACCACCCCATCTGCTGTAAGATAGGACATGGAAGGAAGCAGGAGCACATTTGTTGGGTCTGGTGGCTAGAAGCTAAGTTCCTGGCTCTAGAAAGGAAGTCATCATTGTCTGCCATGAATGTGGTTTGAAATTTGAAGAATTTTGAAGGTTTAAGCTTTTGCAAAGAGATACTCTTTTTTGGTGACTGTTCTGAGTCCATTTTTCCTGGAAGACAGTATGTGCCTTTTCAGTCCATAGATTCAAATTGTCTTTTATTTCACATAATTTTTTTTTGAATTTCATCTTTATTTACTGTTCTCAGTTTTCCTCTTTAGGAATGCCAATTATGTATATGTTTGTCTTCAACTATTATCACTTTACTTAATTTTTTATTTCCTTGTCTTTTTCTCATTTCTGCCCACTGTGTTTTTTATGGTGTTGTCAACAACGTCTCTTGTCCCTTATGTTCCTTTCATTTTTGTTCTCTTTTCTGTGGTTTTACTTTTCTGTGGTATCTATCCTGAGCCCACAGCTGCCTTCAGTATCCACAAAGCTGATGCCTGGACGCTGGAACTCCGGGTATGGTTGCAACTGCCTCTAAAGACTTAGGTCTCCATAATCTTGTTTTCTAATAGCAGCAGCAAGACGGGCTCGGTTTCGCATCTGCTTCTAAATATTGTGAGTGCATCTGACGGGCAGAATCTCATTTACAGCCAGGACCCTAGCTGCAAGGAAATCTCAGAAATGTAGTTCTAAGCTTTATACACTCTATACACAGAAGGATGAAGGAATGGAGGTTGAGTGAGCCAACTCACAGTATCTACCACGACCTTCTATGTTGTGAATACCTTTACAAGTTTAGTGTTTATGAGATAAGAGTTTCAGCTCTTCAAATAATTTCCTCCATGGTTTTCATCTTTGGTGTTATGCTTAGAAAAACTTCCTTACCCTACTATATATTTTTTTCACTTTTCAAAGATCGTTTAAATTTTTTCTTCAGAGAATTCCTGAAAACAAATAATAGAAATAATTTATAGCTCTGCCACTCTTTAAAATATTATATGGAGAAAGAAGTAAAAGAGCTCCTGCTTCTTCTGGCCCCTCCATTTCTATCCTTCCAGAGGTAACCTAGAGGGCCCCAGTTTGGTACATAGTCTGTTAAATAACAAAATTCAAGGGGCACCTGGCTGGCTTAGTCAGTGGAGCATGCAACTCTTGATCTCAGGGTTGTAAGTTCAAGCCCTATGTTGGGTATAGAGATTACATTTAAAAAAAAACACTAAAAACAAAATTCAACTGAGTAAATTTGAGGATCTAATTGGCTTTATTCAAAGTTTCATGAATCAGGCAATATCCCA